TCAAGCGGAGTTCTTGGTGCTGCAGAGGTAGAGACAAACACGTGAGCAGAAAGAGGGCGCCAGAGGGTCAGACGTTGAGATCACAGTGTTGAAGGAGAGAATGCTCAGCCTCGCGTTCTTTCTGCCTCTGAGACACTTACAACCCATTTGCCCCTGCTCAAATCTAGATATTAAAAAATGACTGAGAGAGGCCCTCCCTGGTGGCACAATAGGTTAGGATGCAGCACTGCAAGCTGGCTGCAACCACTACAGTGCGAGTTCGATCCCCAGCCTGGAAGGTGACCCACATGGCGCGGCAGACCTCTCCTGACACACCCGCTGCTCCCCTCAGCAGTGTACTTCATCGATCTGCCTGTTCTGCTCCCCACTCTGTCTCTGGTGAAGCCTCTCACCATGCCTGCGCCTCTGGCATGTACCCCAGTTCTGTATGAATAAATAAATCAATCTTTAAAAAAAAATTAAAAAATGAAAAATGACTGAGAGAAAGGAAGTGCCTCCTGATGGCTGTCATGTCCACACCACAGAACTGCGGTTGTCTGTGAAAAGAGCTCCCAGACCATTGCATGTGCAGCACCGTGCAGGTCACTCGACGTGAATGACCTCACATGGGTCCAGCGGGGTGGATATTATTATTTCCATTTTACAGGCAATGAAACTGAGGCACAGAGTAATCTACCCAGGGTATCCATGATGAGATGGTGAGACTCAGTTCTGCTACCAGCCCCCAATGAGGTCGTTTGTTGCCCCCCTTTTACCCTCCTCTTAAAACATTCTACTTAGCCTTGTCTATGTTGGGGGCCTGGGGAGAGAGTGAGGAAGTGCTTAGGTCACCAACCCTAGAAAAAGACTGGGGAGGAAGAAGCATCATTGGTCTAAGTTATCATGATGCAATGATTAAGTAATTATTTATCAAAAAGAGGTTCTGTCTAATTCTTTCCGATTCAGTCAGGCTGGTAAGTGGAAGGCATGTTAATGTGCAGGAGAGGGTGGAAGCCCAGCGAAGAGAGAAAACTGGGAGGAGGAGATAGAGGAGAGCACTCTCCTCTCAACAGACCCTGGAGACTGATAAGAGCTCACACAGATAAAATATTTATTTTCCATGTGTCACAGAAAGCAATGCCATCACTGTATGTGTGCAATATGTGCAAAGAAGTGTGAAATGTATATATCAAACGTCACTGATCTGGTTAATTTCCATGCATTTAACATGCTTAATACCGATCCACTCATCAATATGTTTTATTGCATATTTCTTACTACATACAATATGGTCTGGTCAGGAAAGAGCCAACATCATCCACAGCCTGCCCCATTCTATTTCAGCTTAAAACTTGTTGCCAGCACAATGAGAGTTAAAAAACTAGAAAGTCTTGCTGGCCAACCCAGCCGCTAGTCACCTTAAAACGCTTTTTCATGTCTTGAAGCAGCCTTTTTCTCATAACAGAAGTGTTTGTAGTGGGGAGATGAAAATGTTTTGTTCTCTTTGGACAAATGGGAGATACTCAGTCAGGATGTCAGAACTGACCGTTGAAAGGCAGGTGCCCGCGGCCACACGGTTTTTTTTTGAATGCAGAGTCCCACCAGTGCAGCGGGAGGAAGTGCACAATGATTGGTCTGTTTCTCTGTGGAAGTGTTCAGGGTACACCCAGTTTTGCTTTGCATATATTTACGAAACATCTGCCCTTTTCTTGTTCTTAGATCCTTCCCCCTCACCAGCCCCCTTTCTCCCGGTTTCTTTTCTTTGTTGTTGTTGGCCTGTCTAACTTTTTCATTGGAGCTTTCATTTTCCGGTTGAGGGGCGACTTCATCAGAGTGTATAATTTTAACATTGAGCATTGAGGGAGGGGGCAGGGAGGAAGAAAGGAAGAGGGAGGAATGGGGTGGTGGGGGGTAGAGAGAGAGGGAGTGAGGGAGAGAGAGAGAAGTGAAAAGAAGAAAGAGGCAGAGCAGCCAGGGCTTGGCAACCCAACCTTTGGCATGGTGACCAGGAGGAAGGTTCTGGTCTGATCAGGAGTTTGCCTCTCTGCAAAGCTGCTTGAACTCAGCCAGTGTGCTGCTGCCCTCTAAAGGCTCCAGGGGATAGTGCACAGCCACAGAGACTGGGGAGACTTGCCCTCTAATGTACCATGTTTCTATAGCTCTTTCTACCCCATCAAAGAAAATATTTTCAATTAATTATTAAAGGACTTGCTCCTCCTTAAAAAACTATGAATTGAAAGAATGGGTTCAAAACGGTGGTTCCTACCAGTGTGTAGACATAGTCCCTCAGCTCCAGAAAAAGGATTCCAGAAGAACTATTAGAGAAGGAGAGATGGGAAAGGAACTGCCTCGAAGGCGGCAACAGTGAGTGATTCTCTGTTATCTTTGCAGTTGGGGAACGGTCCAGCGACAGGACAAGAGAAGCAGTAGTAGGCAAATGGAGGAAGGAGCCAAAGAATGAGTTTGTAGAGGTGGCTCCAACACCTCAGGGTGGTGACTATTCTCCAAGGGTGATTCTTGAGACAACAAACAGGAGATGTCAGGTAGGAAGCAGGAAGGGAAGGCCTTTAGCTAAAGAACAATACAATTTTGCCATGTTAAAAATAAGAGTAATGTTAGTTGTTTGACCATGTGCTCCCATTTGAAAAGCAGACTTCCTTAGCTTCCTGATGCCTACTTAAGAAACTAGACTAGGTCTTTTGAATGAACATCAGAGATCATTTTTTTTCTGTTCAGCGGTATCTGTCATAAATGTGTTTTATCGTAATATTTAAATGATTCGTGAGGACCAGCTTAGCTTTAGTGAGCAAAATAGCCCTACCCTCTTCAAACACCTTTCATGAATTCAAAGGAAAAGCAGAGAGTTAAGGTAGATTTCGCTGCTGCATAAAGAATAGAAAACTTCATTGGGATTCAAACCGTGACTCCTCTTAAAATATACTTTAATTACAGCTCCATTTCATTCCATCAACAAACAGATTCTGAATAACAGTTTTGTCTAAGCTACTCTGTCTAACAGTACATACTAGACAGCAAACTCTGAGGAGGCAGAAATCAGGCTTACTCCCTAGCCAGTTCTGGGGCAGCACAGGCGCAGAGTGAGTATTTGTAAAATGAATACGTGAGTGGTGGGAGGGGAGAAGGAAGAAAAAGTGGGTCAACACAGGGAATTCAGAACTAACTGAGACATTTCCCTTCCCTCAGAGAGTTTCTAGTCTCATAGAAGAGAGAAGCACATACCTAATCATTACTGAAACAAAGTTTAGTAAGTAAAACGTATTTGGGGACTAGAGAGGAAGGAGTCCTGTGAAGAATTCCAGAGAGAGAAAGACCATGTGACAGAGGATAATCAGAACAGCCACATAGTGGAGATAACATTGAGTAAACATAAAGGATCAACATAATTGAACAGCTGGATTTTAAAAAAGGATATTCAAAGCAAGGGGAATAAGTTGAGCAAAGATGTAGAGTTAAGGTAGATGCAGATTTCCCAGGATGTTCTGGGAATGTTTAGGAAATTCTGGAGTCTAGTATGACCAATATCTGGGGGATGCGAGCCAAGCTAAAGCAGATACAGATCTCACATGTCGAAAAGTGTCCTCTATATGTTCATCTTCACCTTGCTATCTCTATTTCTTCCCTCTGAAAATATAGATTTGACTTCACAACCTGTTGGACTAGCAACACAGCATGGTAATCAAAACACCACATTCTGCAAGGGCAGATTCAACTACCCAGTAGAACAAATTTCGGTACAAAATAGTCTGTGTAACAAGTCCATTATCATGCTTTGCAGAGATGAGGAAAACAGAGCAATCTACTTACAAACCCTGTACTATGCATGAGCTTCTACCAAAAAATAAAATACTTTGTCTGGTCACCATCCACACGACAGAAAAAGGAACAAAGCCAAGGGACCTAAGGGGAATGTTCAGGGTATGACTCATAATCCAGTTTGGCTGGGGTTTAGGTACATGCAGTATAAGCTAAGTATTTATTCATTTACATCAGTTGCATTGTCCTGGGAGGTGACCTGAGTTGACCTACAGCTGAGCTCATTTACTTCCTATTCCTGACCCCAAACAGCAATTAGCAACAATTACATTCTAATTATTTTTGCCCATCTCTTTCTCATATACCAAACATAGAATCATGTTCCTGTGAACATATTTTGAATGTTCTGGAACACCACCCCCCACCCCCATCTACATAGGCTGAAAGTCAGAGTAGTCTTATCTTGTTCTGTGATGTAAGAATTTGGTGCCTGAGGAAGGAAAAATCAACCTTTCACCCTTCTGTAATGACCAAGGAGTCAGCTAAAGATTTAAACAATGGGTACCTAGCCTTTGCGTCTCCACAATGCATTCTTCAGAAGTCAGGAAAATGATTAAACCCTGGCATTTGCCCTCCTCTGCACATAGATAGCATCAGCATTTCTTTAGGTCAAGATAACTTAAGAAATCAAAAGTTCTAAACCTATAGATGAAAACCAGAAGCCCCCTGTCAAGAATAATTATACTTTTGACGTCAGTGACTCATTGTTCCTTCCTCTCCTGTACGAATGCCACTCTGTAACAAGGTATATAAACTGACTCAATCAAGCTTGTGATTGTGGGAACAGTTCTCACAGAATAAATCTGTCAAACTGTTTCCCTGGTTCAGATCCTCACTTTGATTATCTAGTAAACTTTTTGTTCTAACTATCATTGAGACTTTTATTTCAGTCAGCACTCCCATACTTTAGGATCATGAATTTAAAAAAAAAACAAACAGGAAATTCTAAGCTTTGGATGAGTAGAGAGTTGGAATAGAGAGTCTCTGTATGATACCTTCCCTCTTAATCTACTGGAATCTCAGTTCTTTCAACATTTAATGTGCTCTTTTAACAAAGCCCTCATTAAGGCCTCTCTCATACTGTAAATTTAGATTGTGATTTGAAATTATGTGTTGATGTAAAATAAAATCTAATAATGGCAGGAAGTTGAATGTTCCATGATGTGTTCCATGAATAGAAACTTGAAGCTGGCAGGAACCTTTAGGGCCTTCTAATTTAAGCCCTTTATTTTACAGATGAGGAAACTGAAGCCCAGAGAGGTGAAGTGAGGTGCCCAAGGCCACACAGCAAGTTAGAGGCACAGCTAGTACCATAGCTCAAGTCTCCTGACTCCCAGTCCAGTGCTCCTCCCATTACTCCACGGGTCCTGTCTCTAAGCTTCCTGACAAATGCTAGAACGGTAAACCTCCACTAGTATTTTTCCAGACCATGTTAAAACTCTTCAAGGGGGGAAGAAAAGGATGCTTTCTTGGATAATGTCAGCCATACGTAGCTCAAGCTGTCTAAAGTTCTGGGACAGGGTCTTTTTATGCAGCCAACAGAGTCCAAATGTGGTGCTGTTTGCTTGGCCCATATGTTTTCATGTGTTCCCAGTTAGGCCATTACTGGAGGGAAAAAAAACAAGAATCAGCTTGTTTTAAAACAAGGGACATACTGGACTCCCTCCCATCCCCCCCTCAGAAAAAAAAAATCAAGTTATCTTTAACAGATTCTAAAAATGCCTTTTCCCAAATATGCAGTCAGTTCCTTCAAAGGGCCCTTTGTTTATTTTCAGGAAGAAACCCAAGACAGCTGAAAACCAGAAGGCATCTGAGGAGAATGAGATTACTCAGCCGGGTGGATCCAGCGCCAAGCCGGGCCTTCCCTGCCTGAACTTTGAAGCTGTTTTGTCTCCAGACCCAGCCCTCATCCACTCAACACATTCACTGACAAACTCTCACGCTCACACCGGGTCATCTGATTGTGAGTACACCAGTAAGGTGACGGTGTCGTCGCGGGGCTTGCAGCTCGCTCCCCTCGGTTCTGGCTTTTTTGCATTCATTCAGAGCAAGCTGTTTCCATTTGGTCTTCTGAAGTAGCCAAAAGTAACTTGCCACCATTTTGACTCAGCCAACATCTCTATTTTCAAAGCTAGATTGTATTTTAAAACCAGGTGATTGACCATGTGTCCTCAAAAGACTGATTAATTACACGAACCACATTCTCTTTCATAAGGTACACTCAGAAGAAGTTGGGTTGGTGATTTCTAATTATTCTTTTGTCTTGGTGTTCTGAATCACAGCATTTCCACCATGACTAAACTGAACAACCAAATATGGGCCTCAAAAGGCCAGTCAGACACAAGGAAACATCCATTTTGAAATTACATAACACAAGTCAGCTTTGCATTAGCTATTGGAATCTCATGTAGCTTGGCTGAATTTCTGTCTTTCCAGTTTTTAATTTATTTTGAAGTGGTTAAAGGATAGCATAAATTTACAGAAGAAAAGAGAATGACTTCCAAGAATTCAGAAGCCACCCAGACTTCACGTAGCCAATCACAATTCAGGTTAAAAATATTTTTTAATTAAAAAAACTGCCTACGGGCTAAATTTGGAAATGGGCAGCTTAATGAGATTGTCGCTATTGAAATCACTCCTTTGCTGTTTATTTTTGCTTTTTCCCCACTAATCTGGGAGTCACTTCTTCAAATTCTATTTTAAGAAAGTTGATAAATCACGTTTAGATTCTTTTCCTCTTTCTGAAATGTAACCCAATACTTGAGAGAGAAAGAAACATTTAAGCTGACAGTGAAGAAAATGGAACAAATTTAGGGGTTCAGTCCAAAAGAATATTTCTTTCAGTCTTGAGTCCTAATATCAGATGTCTAAAATTGGTGTTAGCCCCCCTAAAATGAGTAAGATAAGCCCAAGAAAGGTTTATTTATCCTATCTGAAGGACAAAAATTATTAGTTATGAAATGAGGTTCTAAATTCGCTATTTTCCTGACAAAACAAATGTAAACTTTGCAAAGAGGGCAAGAGGTGAATGAATCTGAGAGAGGCCATTCTCTCCTTCCTTCATCATAATCATCTCTAGATAAAGAGACAAGAACTAGAGGTTGAAGATGGGGTGAAGAAAGTGTGTGCCGTTTGTGGTTGGACTGAGACCACACTGTAGCAGTCATTGGAGAATAAAAAGGAAAAGATCTGAATCTCTACAGCTTGTGCAGCAGTGTGGACAAAGTTGCTGCTTCTGTAGAGAAAGCTTGGGAAGGGTCAGAGCCAGGCCTGGGTTCTGTGGGTTGTTGTAACAGTAACATCCTCAGACCTTCTTGCCTGATAGTCTCTAGCCTAATAGTAATTACAGGAAGAATTGGCAAATAGCCTGGCGTGCTGCCCATAGCCATGTGCACACGGTCCATACCTACCAGGAAGGTAGCCTGTTCCTGTGGAGAAGGGCCTGGAGCTCCTGCGCGCAGACCTTCATTGCCTGGCTTTCTGCCACACCTTATGGGGAAGATTACATATTGTGGAATGGCGTTAGCCCAGAAATCCCGTTACAACAAAGTGAATGTTTTGCTGAGTAGAGAAAGCACTGGGCCTCATTTATTGTGCTTTACCCTGAGTGTCCTTAGGCCAGGCCCAGGCATTCGCGTGGTACAGGAACAATAACCAGTATGAGTGAGGCAGCATCTCAGTGACCCCAGGGAAAGCCATTGGATAGGAGCTCAGAAAGGAGTCTGAATCAGTTGGGAAAGACAGCAAAGAGGAAATAGAAACCTACTCTCCAGCTATTTAGAAAGTCATTTTGATTTTGCCATTAAGATGTGTTAAGTCTTCTTTTCTCCAACCCCGTTGTTTCAATTGATTATACTTTTCTCTAAATATATTTGGATTGTAGTTTGTCCTGATTTGAGCTTACACTTAGGAGAAAATTGTTTTTAGGAAAGATTCACAGAAATCTGTCCATTTGGAGATTGCTTGAGAGAAGAGAGGAAAGAGGTTTATTTTAAGCTGTTAAAATTTTTGGATGCTCTTCTTGCATTCAGGAGGATTTTTTTTTTTTTTTTTTTTTTTTTTACTTTCAAATGTCATTCCTACCATAGATTAATTTAAAAGCCTAATTTCTTTAAGGTAAAAGATTCCGCTCCTATTTAGAACTAACAGATTTGGGGCATTTTAAAAATAGTGCCCTTGACTTGTTAGTCTCTTTAACTTCAGAAACATTCCACCAGTGGGGTGTTCCAAGCTTTCACAAGTGCCTGAATTTTTGTAACACCTTTTTACTTGTCATGTGTTTAGCAAAATTATTCTTAGTCATGCCTTAATGCCCATTTCCTGTCAGTCATTATAATTCTTCCCAATTTGCAGATGAGAAAACTGAGAAAATTGGCACCTATTTGCTTGGTAGTTAACTCATTTGAAAAATGAGGGATGTTTATGGATTTTCTTTCACTGTGAGCAGCCTGATTTCCCTGTTCCAAATCCAGAGATGGCATTCCTGGCTCTAAATAGGCATCTTGAAAACATGCAACAACTCATATCGGTGACTGGGTTATAAGGCAGAATGATAAGCATTCCCATGAAAGAAAAGACAGCGTTGCGTGCGAGCTAGTAAGGGTGGTTGAGCCACAGAGTTGCCTGAAGGACACAGGCCATATTTTAGAGTAAGGAGGACAAGTCTTGACCCCTTGGGTTCCCGGTAGGCTATTGAACCTGCTGAGCTACTTCAAATTTAGCAAAAGATTCCAGTGATACTAAACACAAGAAGGAATATGGTTGGGAAATACGTTCCTTTCTGAGGTGATGAGGTTAAAAGTTAACATGGCTACCAAAATGTGTGTTGCTCTGCTGTGAACTGGCGATCTCCTTTTCACAAACTCCCCCCTTCCCCCCTAGTTTATCACTTCTTCACCATTTCTGAAACTCTAATGGTAAACAAACTCAGATGATGATCATGATCATGATGATGGTGTTGAATAAGTGTTGGTATGCAGAGGGCAAAAAGAAAAAAGAAAAAAAAACCCTAGGATTTTGACAGAACAGTTACCCACAGAACAGGCTGAGAATGGACTGAGCCAAGCTCTCCCTTTCAGAGCTTAAATAAGACTAAACCAAGTCAGTAGAGTAGAGGACACTCTCCTTGTGAAAAAGCTTTCTTGACGACTTTCAATCTGCAGTACTTCATAGTTCCATACACAGTCCTGTGTCTCTATGATCCAGAACTTTTATTGGCATATTCCTTCCATTTTCTTTCCCCCCAAGTAAAGCTCCCCTGGCAGGGAGAAGTGATTCTCCCAGTTGGCAGTCTTCTCTCCTTTTGCCTGTTGATCAGCCTGTTCTGATGTCTTTCTTTTGTTGGAAGCTGACATCTGTAGTTTCTTACCTTTCCGTGTTTTACAACGTCCCCATCAGACGGTCTCATTTTTTGTGCCCTTGCCAAGATGCACTTACGCATTAGCAGTTTTTATTTATTTTTAATTTAACCTTTACACATTACCAAACTGTTGTGTGGGTGGGTTTAACTTTAGCTCTGTAGGTAGCATGACTCCTCTGGGACTGAATACTGTCAGGAGAACCAGTGGGCTCTTCCTTATCTCTCTCTCACCATCCACCGTCCCCCTCCCAGTCCTTCTGCTTCTCCCATCTATGTCCCTGGGATTAAAAATTTTAGTGCATTTGGTTCCGTTTGAACTTTTGAGCAATTTTTTTAGAGAACAAAACAAAGAGGATTTTTTTATTGCAAACTCCATTAATGCCACATTAAGTCTGACATTTTAATTACCCCAAAGTCAGGAAATGCAAAGTTCAGGTTCCCACAGCAACAGAAACTGTCCCCTTGAGTACAGGCATCACAGCGATTCTTTCATTCCCTGAATACACATCACCAGGCACGAGGACATTGTTTTCTAGCCACGTCGATGGAAAAGAGCACAGCTCTTTTAGCCTTTGTTTTTTCCCGGTAACTACAGTTGAGGATATTGGTCTTTAGCTTCCCCCCCAAACCATCTATATGTATTATCCTAAAATGGAAGACTGTTATAGCTCTGCATGTGCACACGGACAGAATTAAAGTTGCTGTGGGAACATTAACTCTGATTTCCGGACTTCCGTGCCAGTCACATTTAAACCATAATGTTGTAATTTTTGGCATGTAATAAATGTGCATTTCATGTACACAGACAGAAAGAAGCATAAAATGTATTTTAAAGAGCAATTAATTACTAACTTTGTGATTAAAAAACATTTGGTGCATGTTCCTTCCCATTTAGCATCAGCTGCTGGTCTTAGCCAGGCCTAATAGATGACATACTGTGTCTCATCCTGTATCTCAGATGTACTTACTGTATGTTCCTGTTCTTCTGGATAATTAATTCCCTTAGTAAAGCTGTAGGGGGAAAACAAAATGGAAGGAATATGCAAGCATGTAAATAGGGTAAAGGATATTTTGAAGGAAGTGATTCATTTCTGCAAATAAACCTCTTAGTCCCTGATAAAGAGCCAGAAATCTGCTAAGTGGGTGTAGACAAAGGTTTCTGGCCACCTTAAAGCATCTGGTCCAGGGCCATAAGAACAACTTGAAAGCAGATTTCCCCCTGAATTCCGGGCAGCCCATGGGGGGGGGGGGTGATTTTGCTCTGTAGTAAATTTTCAGGCCTAAGGCTTAAAAACTTGTTTTACTCTGCAACAACTTTTCCGTTTACATTTAAGCCGGAAAAGAAAAGTTGTAGAAAACCATGTAAGAACCCCAGATTTAGAGAATAGTATTTTTTCTTCCTTTAGATTTGAATCTGGTTGGTCTGTTTGTATTGGAGAGGGAAGTTTTTCAAAATAATAGTTTGAAGGAGTTTGTGAGTAAATGGAATTGGTAGCTCTACCCAGAGGTGTAGCATTTTCAAAACTGCTTGAGCATTTACTTGAAACTGAGTGAGAAATTTGATAAAAAGGATGTGTCCCTTAAACTCTCAGCTAAAACATTAA